AATTTTTCTCCTGTGTGTTAGTTTAGGTAACTCTCTTTACTTGTTGTGTAATTGCATACATTAACTGCATGGGATTATTCATTGCATAGATTGTTTAAAAACGGATATATAATCAGGACTACTTGCCCTGAAGCATGTTTATAAGGTCAGCCCTGCCCTTGACACAGGAATTCACATTCACAATCTGTGTCAGATAGATTAGTCCTGTGCCTGTTCTTTCTCATGAATCATTGGCACTAATTTGTTGTCATTTGCTTCATGTTTTGTAATCTGTATATTTATAAGTGCAAGATGTGGGCTCTACAACATGACCCCATGCAGCAGCACCCCTCCCACCTCCCACAGCACATGAAACCTTCAGCAATCTGAATTGCTCCTGCAACCACGGGCCAGAAAAAGGCCTGTGCTCTACTTGCAACTAAAATAGAAGGCCAGGAGTGGGAGGGGAAGAGAGAACCAAATCTAATTTACTCCCTAAGAGCCAGGCTTTCCTTATTTATATGTATCTTTATGGCTGTATTTAAGGAGAAATGGTGGCCCGCTTCCTCCATGCATGACTCGTTTTTTATTTTTCAGCCTGTGGGCCTTCGTCTGGCCCTAGATGAGCCTCTCCTTGGAAAGGGGGGAGGAGGGAGAAAGAGAATGAAAGGGAGGGAGAATGGAAAAGGGGGAGAGAGAGAAAAAGAGTCAGGTTTCGGTCCCTGTGCGCTCTAAGCTGATTCAGACAAGAAAGCAATATCACTTCAACTCAGACGTTACTTTTAAATAAAGCCACTTTTAGTTTTACATGCTCTCATTTGCTTGAAGGGATAGTTCACCCCCCAGAAAAAAATAAATAATAAAATAAAATTCTGGCATCATTTACTCACCCTCATTTCATTCCAAACCTGTATGACTTCTTTTGTGGAAAAATAATGAACATTTATTGAAGAAGTAATTAATACAGGTTTTGAAAGTCATCATCAGGGTGAGTAAACGATGACAGAATTGTCAGTTTTGGGTGAACTGTCCCTTTAAGACTCATTTTAAGAGTTTCATGCTTCATTGTAGGCTGTTCAGTTGTTTTCAGTTGTGTAATTCACCTTGGCTGTAATAAGATGTAATAGTGAAAAACCAGAGAATGGCTAGTTTCATGGCCTTGAATGGCAGCTGAAATTGAGT